AGCTGCAGTTATTGTGACGATGTAACCTGGTGGTGGAGAAATCCTGTATTTTGATTTCTCTCAATTTTTAGGCGGATCCTAGATTTGTAATGATAAAATTACAGATGGTGTGAAGTCCTTACTTACCTTTAGTTTGGTTCTTTTTTTTTTTTTAATGTTCTTCAGCTCTCATTATTAGGGAAAAAAATGTTTTGGTCTCCTTAGGATTCATGCAGCAATCTTGCACTTTCCTTCATTCTGTAAATTTAAGTAACTAGGAGATAGTGTGTTTTTAAAAGTCATTTATAGTCTTAATCTTACAAGTATCTCTTGTCTTTGGCACTTGATCTCATTTCTCATTACTCACTTCTATAAATTTTCTAGCAATTTCAGTCCTAGCACTCTTGCTTTTTTACTGTAGCATAAACCCCAATATTTTTAATTCTAATTTCCCATGTCTAAATTGTTCTTTGCTGGTATTAGTGGCTAAAACACATTCTAATACTTGAATGAGACCATAGCATTAGTTATATACTGATGAGTAAATTTTGTCTTTTTTAATAAGCCATAATTTACTCTGCCACTGCAGCAGAGCAATTGTTTGTTGATTTATTTATTTTCCTGTAAATTAACCCTAATTGTATGTGTAATATAAAATGTAAATTGAAGATTCTTCGAACTTTTTAAAACTTTTCTTCAACCTCCGTATTTACTTTGTTTTCCTATTTTTTTTTTATCCAAGGAATGTAATGAATTCTTAAAGCATCTGTTGTTTCTGTCATTTAATTCTGTCATTTTTTTTTGAACTGCAGTGAATGATATTTTTCCTTAAGTAGGTAAATCAGAAAGGGTTTCTTCTCATATAAGCGTTTCTTACACTTTCTCTTAAGATAACCATTCCTTTTTCTAGTGGAAGCTGTCCCTGCCCATGGCAGGGGGTTGGAACTACATGATCTTTAGGGTCCCTTCCAACCCAAACTGTTCTATGATTCTTTTTCTGCCGCATATTTTAGGCCTGTTTTCTAATGCTGTTCTCGAACTGAGAGAGCAGCAAGAGTTGCTGGAGTCAAAGTGCAGATTTCCTTTCACAAATCAATTCAGACAGTTCTAGTGGTCTTTCCTTTCTTGCTATGGCAGGTTCATCAGGAAAGAGCCTTATTCCCAAACAATAGCCTTACAAGAGTGCATGCTAAGTGTAAATTGAGTGGGTAAGTCAGAAAATAAGAGTGGCAGCCAGTGGATAAAATGGTCTCTCTTTCCTTTTTCCCTGTGTAAGACACAGAGGTGATTTCTTCCTATTTCAAAAAAGGCTTTGTGCAGGCCAGAGTTTTTTAAAAACTTTGATGATAGCTTGTTTTTATCCATTGGGCTTTTTGGTACCCAAAAAATGTATTCCAAGGTGTCAGTGTCTTCCTCTTTCTCCTGTACTCCTTATTCTTCACCCATCCTCAAGTGAATGGGAGGTTCACATCAAATAGTTATTACTTTTTCAACCAAAAGTCAATTCTAGCAGTTTACAAAGATGTCTCTCACTTAGGCAGTTGGCTAGGAGACTGCATAACCTGATTTGTGGAGATGATAAATGAGGGCAGGAGAAGAAAAGGAAGATCTCATTTTTCCTCCTGAGAGTACAAAATACTTTTTTTAGCAATTCTGTAAGTAATAACTGATTGTATTGCACTGTGTGTATGCACTACACGATTACTCTAGCTGTGTAGGTTAAATACTCATGTACTTCTCAGAATCTTTTTTCTGAAATAATGGTAGAAGTGGAGGCCTGTGGAGAAGCGCTGATGGCATGGCCATGCAGCTGGATGCATTGAATTCGGACCATGTGAAGAATAAATGCGTCACCTTAAGAGTGGTTGAATAGGGCTAGGCAATTAAAAAATAGAAGTTTGCGTGGCAGAGCTTGTGTGTAAGGAAGTGGTTAAACTTTTGCATCAGTATGGGTGGGCGAAGACAACTGCAGATGTAATGATGGACCAGTCTAAATGCACCATTGCAATAGTGACTCTGCTTTGTTGTGGTGAGGATTTCTTAGGGGTTATGGTCGATAGGTTTGGTTTTCACAGCTTCTCTGGGCAGCCTGTTCCAGTGCTTCACCACCCTCTCTGGGAAGAACTTCTTCCTGATATCTAATCTAAATCTCCCCACTTTCAATTTAAACCTGTTACCCCTTGTCCTGTCACTACAGGCCCTTGTAAAAAGTACCCTCCCAGCTTCCCTGTTGGCCCCTTCAGGTACTGGAAGGCTGTAATGAGGTCTCCCCGGAGCCTCCTCTTCTCCAGGCTGAACAAGCCCAATTCTCTCAGCCTGTCTCCATAGAAGACGTGCTCCAGCCCTCTGAGCATCTTTGTGGCCTCCTCTGAACTCGCTCCAACCATTCTATATCCTTCTGATAATGAGGGCTCCACAGCTGGACGCAGTACTCCAGGTGGGGTCTCACCAGAGCAGAGCAGAGGGGGAGAATCCCCTCCCTCGACCTGCTGGCCACACTTCTGATGCAGCCCAGGATACGGTTGGCTAATAGATTAAAATGGAAGAGTGTGTGGGATTTTCCCTACTGACTTCAGTAAACATAGCCTATGATTTAGAAGGTGATCTTCATAATGATTGACTCTGTGGATCACCAGTTAGAGTAACAAGCATGCCCTGGTGCATATGGCAGAACAGTTCCTACTGAGGCCATGTGCTCTGTTTATTCTGTTATTTTCTTTCACCCTTAAATGAAATATGACACAGCCATTACTGCTTGATGCATTCTGGTTAGTAGGAGGCATGTTTAGGGAGTCTGCTACTAGCTTTTAACTTGACTGGGGAAAGGAGCGTCAATCTGGTGTGGTATTAGTACATGTCATCTTTAAACAATTCCTCCAAAGACAGCTCTGCATCCATGGTGGCAGTTAAGTTCTGGGTGTGTTTTGTACTGAAGAAATGCATCTGAAACTGACGCTTGCTGTGAGAACCCTTGGTTTCAAAGTGGTTTTGTTCAGCCACATCTGTATCATGGAAATCCAGTTCATGGCTCTAATCTTCAACGTGAAAATGCCCAATACTCGAAACATCTCATCTGTTCAAGGAATTCCTCTTTTGCTTCTGTCTTCACAATTGTGGGCAGGACCTTGATTAGTAAGATATTCTGGAATCAAATAATTGGTGTGATGCTGCAAAGATTTACTTAAGTAGAAACATTGCTTGCTTTTGAAGTTCTTCAGGGTTAAAACCTCTGAATCTCTCCTTTTCGATGCTCTTACAGCTCTGTATGTTACTAGCTAGGAGTCCTCAGCTCTGTTGAAGGCATAGCACATTGGAGAGTAAGGATATTTCTGTAGGCTTGAGATGCAAGTACAACAGACAACACAGGATTTAAATAGCTG